TTGAAAGTATTCATTTTTTTGTCTTGATGGGTGTGACTTGGTCTGGGAGATGGATGGAGTGGGTTTGGGGGTGGTATTTGTAAAAAATATTTTTTTTTGATATGGGTATCAAATAAAAGGTAATTATAATATTTTTTATTTTAATAATAATTCAGTTATAGAAGGCCGGTCTAGGTTGGGGGTCAGGAATATTTTTTTATCAATACAAAATATCGATATGGGTATCATATGAAAGCTAATTTAAATATCTTTAAATTGAAAGTATTCATTTTTTGTCTTGATGAGTATGACTAAAATAATAAAATAAAATTTAAATATTTTTTTATTGTTATAATAATAGTCCCTCTTAACGGGTGGGTTTACGTCTTGGGGAGTCAGGAATATTTTTGTCAACACAAAATATCTATAAGTGTATCAAATTAAAGCTAAAAATATCTCATGATTGTAATAATTATACTCTAAGTAGGTGGGAGGTCTTAGGTAGTCAAGAATATTTATATAAACACAAAATATTGATATAGGAATCAAATAAAAGGTATTTTAAATATCTTTTGACTGAAAATATTTATTATCTTAACAGGTTGTCTTGATTTTGGAATGAGGGGTGGGGGAAGGGTAAAAATAATAATTTATATGGGTATCAAATAAATAGTAATTAAAAAATCTTTTGATTATATTAATTTTATCAGGATAGGAAATTCCATATCATCATTATTTTCAAGGGATATTACTTTGTCGATATGATCTTTATCAAAATTATTTTAGATTATCAATCCCTACTGCATTTAAAATTTTTAAATGTAAATTTTAATTTTAAAATAAAAAAAAATAAAAAGATTATGATTTTAGAATTAATTATAAAATTATTATAATAATTTTTGCTATTTATTTAGTAACGAGCTACCGCTATCTTTTTTTATAAAAAAAAGTAGCGCGCTAAAGTTATCGATACTTAAAAAAATAGTCATGGAATAACGCGCTAAATAGATAACACTGCAAATTATATATTTTAAGTTCAGATTGGAACCGAAAAAAATTGTTTTATCTATGTCGTAAATTATAATATTTTTTTTTATATATTTGAAATGTCAATCATTTCAACTTTGATTTTTGTATATATTTTTTTTACCATGATCATTCTTTTTTTTTGTGGAAAAACTGATGAAAATTATTATGAATTTTTTATGCATATTAAAGAAATAAAAGTATATAAAAAAAACCATAAAGTATCACATTTTTTAGTTTGAGGGAGATTAGTATTATTGACGTTTCTTTGCGATTTTTTAATTTCAGTAAGTTATTTTTATATTTAGATCCTTGCCAGTTTGGATTGTCTGCGTATTTTGTTAGCGTTTTATGCTTAATTTTGATAGTTATTTTTATTTAGTTTAGTTTTTTTAGTAGTAATTTTTTCAGTTGTTGACCGTGACACAGGATATTCTTGATACCAAGGTTATTCGTTATTATAAGGTAAAAACAATATTTTATTTTACATTTTGTGTATCTCTCCTCAGGACACAACGCAATCACAGTTTTGTTGCTTAAATTTTTTTTTTAGAAATTTAATTAATAAAATGGTTTTAAGAAAAAAAATAGTTTTAAAAAATTTATTTTAAGATTAGTTCGATTAACACGCAATCTTTGTAAAATAATAATAATTTTCTGTAATAAATTAATTTTAGAGTAAAAATTCGTAATATGCGATGGTGGTGTATTTCGATAAGTATACTGAGCCTACTTTTATTAATAAAGTTGCCATCTTTAAGGATATGGGTTATAAAATCTTGTATCAGAACATTAATGAATTGGATATAGGCCATCATTTAATTACATTAGGATTAATAGTAATTATATATTAAATTTATATTATTTTGAAATTTTTATTTGGGAAATGTACTTTGGTTGCGACCAAAGTATATGGTAATTGGAAAAGAGACACTCCAGTGTCGGCTGATTGTTGGAAAAAAAATTCGATCTTGGAAAGTAATTTAAATGTGGTTTTAAATGAAATCAAGAACGGCAGACCAGAAATGGTAGAAATTTTGGAATGTAATAACGATGATAGTTTGGATATTGTGGAGAGATCTGTAGTTATCCTCCAAGAATTGAAAGAAATAAAAGAAGTAATTAAGATTATATATCAGGATATAAATAAATTGGTTATTTCGAATTGTATTGGTAATAAAGGCCAAATATGTGGTCCGACGGGGTCAAATGGGAAAAACATCTCCGATGGAAAGAATGGTTTTTCCTGGAATAGGAAAATCTTTGAGGATTTGAAATGTACCCGCTGGGGCCACAAGGTAGAGACCTCTATGGTCAAAGAACAAAATTTTCGTGAGGGTTTTCCGTTAAGAAAATCGACACTAGAAAATTCTAATGTTAGAAAAGTTTCTGGTTTCAACACGAATAAATTTGAGGTTCTACAATCGAATTATGGTAAATCCCGTTTGTGTTTTAAATGTAACAAACCGGGACATGTAGCCATAAATTGTACCAAAAATTGACTATATGATTGCAAGTGTAATCATATAGTAGGTAGGAGATCGGGAGGTAGAAATAGTAATAAATTAAATAACTATATTGAAATGAGATATGATTCTCATAAAATCCGTGATTTTAACAGAAATTTTTTCCATCCTGATGATTAAAATAAAAATAATGAAGATTTTAATAATTTTAGATGGGAGAAATATCCTAAAAGTATTGTTAAATATTCCGATAAGAAGGATGTTAATACTTTCGAATGGGAAGGATATCCCCATGATATTGTTAAAAAGAATATGAATATAAAGAACCGCTAAATTTCGAGTTGAATTTATGTTCAAATGTGAATTCTCATGAAACTGATGTTTCAAATGAGATAGATATTGATCAGTCAATTAAAACATATGAGATTTTAATGACTGAGAGATTATTCGAACTTTGTCCTTGTCCGAGAGTTACTGTAAGAGTTGACTCGAGGGACATTGACATGTTGTTCGACACAGGGGCTAGCATTTCAATAATGTCTAGAAAAGATTATTATAAGTATTGGTCTGGGGGTAAACTTGAAAAGGAATCTATGTGTGTCAGACAATTTGATGGGTCTGAAATTGTAGTTTTGGGAAAAAACTAAGTTGGGAATAATTTTCTATGATACCACATTTTTCCTAGATTTATGGGTAGTGAAGAAGGAGGTGGAAACCATCATGGGGTGGGATTGGATTGTTAAGTTAGGTCCTTTCAATAATTATTGGAATATTTTTGCCATACCTAATGGTTCAGCCCTAAATGAGACTAAAAACAAAAATATTGCTAATATAATTCTCGGGAAGAAATTTATGAAATAGAAGGGACGGATTTATCCGTAGAAGAAGGGAATTTAACCCTTAATTCTGAGAGGTATGTAAATTCCACGGAATTAATGGTTGAGGACAATATTAGCGTTAATGGGAACCCAATGATTACTATTGATAGTAATGAATTACATAAAATGTGTGAAGATGTATCTATTTTAATGAAGAAATATGAAATAATTTTCGAAGAAAATTAGGTTGTCTTAATGATTATCAAGTGGATGTAAAATTTTCAGTGGGCCAGAAGGTCTGGGCCAGATTGTTCGATAATCGGGGAAAGAAGTGGGAAAGAGGTCGGGTAATAGTAAACCGGGGTTCGAAATTAATTGAAATTTTGTTAATGGGTTACTGTGATCCATTATCACGATCACATGAAATTAGGGTAGAATAAGTGATATACTCGATTTTTTGTTTTAATTTTTCTTAAAGGTACTAATTAAATGGTTTATATCGTGTCAGGGTTCAGTATATTGGACCATATTTTTTAATGTTGTTCAATTGATACAAGTTTTTGTGGTCAAATTTTATAGGTCAGTTCAAACAGGTTGATTAAAAGGTTTATGTTTTGAGATTGTTTGACTTGTAACAATTTTCTTAACATTGGAATAAAGAATTTTTGTTTGGTATTGATTGACTAATAAAAACTTAAAAATAAGGAATAAACGAGAACTTAGGAGGATATGTTTTTATTTCTTATCAGAGGGTAATATGGATAATGATTTACATGGTAATAGTATGATAAAGTAATTTTAATATTACGGCTGTCAGAGATAAATAAAAAGTTGAAATTGCGGTGGTTGGCTTATGGCGAGAAAGATAAAAACATTTTTCTTGTATGTTTTTATGTAATGAATTAGGGTTATAGAAAACATCTTTATTTTTGGTTTATGTTTTATGTAAGGTAGTATAGAATGAAAAGTATTACGGCTATGGTACATAAATTAAAGTTAGAGGAAAAAGTTGAATGGACTGTAAAATTCTTATTGTAAAAGGGAGATGATAGACTTACGCCAAATGGCGTATTAGCAAGAAATAAAAGTTATATTTTTTCTTATTTATACGCATTTTCCGAATCGATAAAAAAGTTACGAAAATTTAACGAATCATTTAAAATTTGTATTTATAATAAAATGGATGTATAAATAATATCGTGGAAGAAATTTAGTAAACTATAAAGCAATATAAAAATTTTAAATACATAAATCTTTATATATCAGATTTTAGAATGTCACCAAAAAGTACTACCATAGTAATACCTTACTTATTTCCCAATATTTAGTAAACTATAAAGCAATATAAAAATTTAAAATACATAAATCTTTATATATCAGATTTTAGAATGTCACCAAAAAGTACTACCATAGTAATACCTTTTTAAAATACATAAATCTTTATATATCAGATTTTAGAATGTCACCAAAAAGTACTACCATAGTAATACCTTACTTATTTCCCAATATTTAGTAAACTATAAAGCAATATAAAAATTTAAATTACATAAATCTTAAGATGGCTATGAATTAGGAAATTTAGAATAATTGAGTAAAGAATATATCTTACCTTGTGCTTCAAATTTACAAACTATTACTCATTTTTTATATAAATTTTTTTATTGAATTTATGTTGAAATTTATAAATTATATTGTATGTCTTATTTTAAAGGTTACCTGGGAACATAAAAGTTCTTACCTTGTGATGACTTATTCTATAAAATTAACACACAACAATCCCTAACAAGCTTCAAATCTACAAACAATTGCTCATTTTTTATATAATTTTTTTTATTGAATTTATGTTGAAATTTATAAATTATAATGTATGTTTTATTTTAAAGGTTACTTGGAAACATTAAAGATCTTACCTTGTGATGACTTATTCTATAAAATTGACACACAACAATCCCTAGCAAGCTTCAAATTTACAAACAATTACTCATTTTTTATATAATTTTTTTTATTGAATTTGTTGAAATTTATAAATTATATCTTTTGATATTATTTTTTTAAATAGAGTTTTAAAAATAAATTTCTCTTAATGAGCTCCCATAATGTTCTTAATTAATTTACCTAAATTAATTTAATTTTAAAAATTTATGATTGGACATTTTTAATCATTTTATAAATGATTGTATTAACTTCAATAATATATTTCAATTTAATGAATAAAATTTATTTAATACCATATTTCGTGTATAAATTATAATACTATATTTAATTGCGTCATTTAATACTATATTTCGATTTAACCCTTCACTAGAAATGTTAAAAATCACTTAAACTTCAAAGGTGGGGTCTATTTTATCCCTAATGTAAAATTAATAAAAATTAGATTTAAATAAAAAATTAAATTTGTAGGCAAAATTCTCCTAAAAATAACTTAAATATTTTACCACAAAAAAAACTAAATTTGTATGCAAAATCTCATAAAAATAACATAAATATTTTACCACAAAAAAAATTAAATTTGTAGGCGAAATTCACCTAAAATATGCGGAATTAATAATTCCTATATTTTACCACAAAAAAATTAAATTTGTATGCAAAATTCTCTTAAATATGCGCAATTAATAATTCCTCTATTTTAACATAAAAAATTTATAGGCAAAAATAAAAAATTTAAAAAAAAACATAAAAATAATATACCCCCCCCCCCTCCCCCGACAGTGTTAACACTTTATTAAAACTTATTTAGTGGCAATTTAAAAAAATGATATTTATGTTATATACTAAATTTTTTATATAGTTATTATATGTTAAAATAGGATAAATAAAAAAAAAATATGCATAAAAACAAGACAAATACAATCAACTAAAATACTTTTGGTAAAAAATATAAAATATCAACATTTGTAATTAATTTTCAAAATCAATAACATTTACAAAATGGGATTCAGAATTGTTAATATAAGTTTTGGTCAAATTTTTTTATATTTCCATTATCATATTTAAATGGTGGATACATTTGCCAGCAAAATGAAGCTTCATACCTAGCATACACCAATATCGGGGTATTGAGAAGTGTGGCAACACTTTGCAATTCAATATCCGTTGCCCATTCACCATTCTTACTTGCCTTTTCTATTATATACTGTTGCACATCATCTTCACACGTATTTTGACCTTGAGTATAATCTAATATATTTTTTATCATTATTTTTTGCAGCATAAGCAAGATCATATGTGATCTAATCAAACCATAGGAGTCTTGTTTTCCTGTTATCTCCATACTTATACATCAAATTATTTTAAAAAAAATTTAATTATGTTACTGTTTCTAAAAACCTATCAATGTTTTAAAAACCTATCAAAGTTTTAAAAAAATAATATTATGAATTAATATAGGATATAATCATTAAAATTTAAAGTAAAGAAAGAAACAAAACCATATTATATGTATATTAGTAAAAAAAATACAACCAAAATTATTTTTAAATTACCGGTAAAAACAATTCCCATCTAGCTCAATTGTTTCCAATCGTGATGGAGTAGTTAGCACCCTTCCTATATTTTGAGAGACTTTATTTTTTGCTGACGCTAAATTTAAGCGAGTAGCATGATATTTCCTCCAAATATTGGTAGTTGGATTATAAAAATGTTTAAATGTATGTTGAATGATTTTAACGAGTGGGTCATCTATGGCTTTAAATATTTAAAAAAATTAAATTAATCATGATATTTAAGAATTACGATTAACTGTATATAATTATAAAATTACAATTTTTGAACTTTGAGTCTGAGTATACAAAGTCTACTAAGTCCACTTGAAGATCCTTCAAAAGGTGTAAAGAAGATTTTTTATAATCTAAAAAAGTTTAAAAATTTATCTTTATCAACAATTTACCTTTGGTATCAACTATTTTTGGGTCAACAAAGTTTTGGGAATTAAGGTCTTGTTGAAATTTTAACTTTTTATCTATATGATTTTCTTTTGATTTGTATGCCTTTTCTATATAATATACTATTAACAATAAATAAAGTCAATGTACTTTTTTGTGAATCCAATATTATAAATCCTAAAGGACTCCCTATTTTATTTAATTTCTTAGGTAATTGAATTTCTTTTATGATATTATTTATACATTCATTTTATTGACTATTATAAACATCTTTTTTTAAAAAAATTGGGACATTATTTTTATTTTACTGTATATTAGGATCCACGTTTGAGTGTGTAAGATCCTCATTTAATACATTTGCTATACTATCATTGGAGAATATCTGACCATTATTTTCATTTGAGCTTGTATTTAAATTATTTGTAATATGCCTTTCATAGCAAAATCATGTAGTTTGTCAAAAGCCTGAGCAAACCCATGTTTCAAATTAGGTGGTATTAATGATATAGTGTGAAAAAGCATATTTTGATTTTTAAAATAATTATAGGATGAAATTTGGTCATTAAAAAGGGTTTTTTTGTATTTAATCCCCTTTTTGTTATTTAATATATCTATTTGATAAATGTCGATGGATTTTTAAAATAATTTTTGTGCCACCTTTGATGACATAATTTTTCATCGTAAAGATCACTATTATTTTTTTTCCTTTCCATAAATACATGTCTGCATGGTAATTGCATATTTAAAAAAAAGGGGCAATCACAATAAAACATATTTGATTAGAAAACAAGATTGCAGTTATCACCAACATTATATTCATATTTTAACTCTTTGTATGCATATTCTGTTAACAATTTTCTATAATTAGCCAATGTTTGATCTTCCTCATTTATAAATGAGATTTTAATTTTTTTCATTAAATTATCATGTTCCCTTTCAGCACTTAACATTTTAATTGACATAATTAAATCAGTAAACATATTTGGAAGGGTAGAGTATTTGGTTATGTTAATTTTTAAATATTTGTTAATGCTCTCTACCCTGTTATTTGTATATTGTTTAAAGTTTAAATGATATCTTTTCCAAGCATCGGACGATGCCAGCCAGAAAAATAGTTATATGATTCTAAATTTAAATTAGTTAATTTGTGATAATTTTCAAAATATATGTCAGAAGACTGTGCATCTAGCATGCTACACAACAGATGCTTCACATTATTAATCATATCATTAGGAATATTCCTTTTTTTGTGGGTAACTTCCCTATCCCAAGCTCTGGTTACATGTTTCCTACATAATTCCAATTGAACATGAGGGAATGCCCCAATATAAGCTTTTCTCCCAGCACAATCTTTATCACTAACAATGACCTTTATATCTGTCCAAGCTGAATTCAGTTTTTTAAAAATTTGAAGCATTTGTGATGCTACATCAAATGACTCCGATTTGACAATCCATACACATATAATATGTGATCTATTATTTCCATCAATTGATACCAAAATATACACAGGCATATGCCTATTATTTAATCGATATGTTGCATCCACACATATTACTTCAGGATATTTTGAAAAAATATACTGCATTTGATGAGTTTGATAATATATACCAATTAGATTCCCATCTACAGTATATAATTCCATATTCATTATCTTCTTTAACTTTATCTATCATTGTGATTAAATCATTATCATAAGTTTTTTTTGTATTTTTGTCTATATTATGCAAATCTCTTAGGGTTATAAACTTTCCTTCAGAAAATAGTTTATTTTTTATTTTGGATTTATTTCCTCCAGTAGTTATAGCTTCAACTACAAATTTATACTGTGCTTCATTAAGCTTTCTTTGTCTGGGTAATGATTGGTATAAATTTTCATCTAAAATTAATCAAAAAATGCATTTTTCATTTGTTTTAAAAACATTATTTCATACTTTTATCGTATATATATTCTATCAAAATTTAATAAATTAACCCTATAAGCCTATCCAATATCCATATCACTAAGTTAAATTATATATTAATCTTAATAATTTCAAGATTATGTGCCTTTACCATGGGGATGATTGTGATTTTCATGCATATCCTTGACAAATAATTTGTTTTTCATGAATGTAATTTGCAAATGGAATTGACATCCTTGTTTTATAGACATGTAATTGCGTAGACCTGTGGATTTTGTATTGTACTTTCCACCATATATACAAAGAAATTTTATGCTTTTATATCTAAATTTTTCAAAAAGAGGTGATTTTTAAATTTTTGAATCTGATATATAAAGATTTATGTAATTTAAATTTTATATTGCTTTATAGCATCTTGTAAATCTTTATAGGATAAAAATATATCTCCTTCTTTCATATTTAAGGTATTACTATGGTAGTACTTTTTGGTGACATTCTAAAATCTTATATATAAAGATTTATGTATTTTAAAAAGGTATTAATATGGTAGTACTTTTTGGTGACATTCTAAAATCTGATATATAAAGATTTATGTATTTTAAAAAGGCATTACTATGGTAGTACTTTTTGGTGACATTCTAAAATCTGATATATAAAGATTTATGTATTTTAAATTTTTATATTGCTTTATAGTTTACTAAATATTGGGAAATAAGTAAGGTATTACTATGGTAGTACTTTTTGGTGACATTCTAAAATCTGATATATAAAGATTTATGTATTTAAAATTTTTATATTGCTTTATAGTTTACTAAATTTCTTCCACGATATTATTTATACATCCATTTTATTATAAATACAAATTTTAAATGATTCGTTAAATTTTCGTAACTTTTTTATCGATTCGGAAAATGCGTATGAATAAGAAAAAATAAAACTTTTATTTCTTGCTAATACGCCATTTGGCGTAAGTCTATCATCTCCCGATAAAAACGTTATGTTTGTATACGTTTTTATGTGTTATATAAGATGAGAAATAATTGTTTCCTTGTGGTTGGCACGTGCGGTATGTTTGATTTTTTTTTTCGTTTTAATTTTTTTCTTCTCCTCGTTCCCTTTTTTTTAGTTTATATTTTAATGGTCCACATATTCTCGGCCAGGCCATAAAAGGGAATGTGAAATGTTGTTGTTAAAATAAAATGAAAAGGGAAAGATGGTAGAATGATGTTAAAATTTTTTATTTTATAAAATATAATTAATAAAAGTTTAATTTTTTTTAAGTTCCCCAAATTTATAATTTGAAAATTGTATTAAAAAAAACCACTTTAATTATTTATTTTTTTAAATTCCCCAAAATTGTAATTTGAAAATTATATAAAAAAAATTTGTACTGAATTTATTCAGTCTCCAATCACGAAAAAAATTTTGCTTGTACTGAATTTATTCCTTCTCCAATCATGAAAATTTTTTTTAGCGTAGTTTCAAGTATCCAAATTAACAAACCACAATCACCCAATGACCATCGATACCGCTGATGATCCATGATGACATACATAGGACGTAAATGTAGACAAATGAAGCTATGAATATGATAGGATGAGGAACTCGTATTAACAGATTACAGTCTTAACCAGTATATGATATCCTTATAGCATTCCTTTGTAGGACCATGAATATTCAGTATTCTATTAATGCAATGTGAATTCATACTACTATCCTAAAAAGTTTTATTTTTTACATCTTAAACTTATTTGTAAATCATATAATTCCCCTTCATGTGATGATAAATCAATTAAAAATTTAACTATCTCCTAAGTGGGAAAAAATTTTCATAATTATATTGGATACGACTGGGCTTGGAACCTCAAAATTTATATTAGCTTGAACCTGACATGAGAATATCTTTAACAAATTATTAAGGGTTGAGCTGGGCTTTATAAACTTTTATAATTATATTCTTCCTAATATTATGAGGGATCTGGCATGACATCTATCGTAAAAAAATGAATAAAAATCTCATTTCCCGTCATTTTTGACGGGCTTTCTACTAGTTTTTAATTATGTAACGAATTTTTTGTAATTGCTACATATTCTAAATAAAGAATATATAACGTAACGATAGCTATTTTTGTAGTGATGACGGTATTCGCTTTTTCGAGGTTAGCGCACATGGAGGGAATAGATTTCATTTTAAACGGGTAATTTAGATTGTTTTAAGACATTTCGGAGAAATCACTAATGACTCTAGGAGAGCCATCTAATTTTGAGAAAACGTATAGCGGGAAATAGATCTGATTATCGACTGCAGGTTTGATGACTCCAGCTGCCAAGATTTACTGGAATATCGGGGCGTAACTTGTTAAGTTGGCGCGGGCGAGAGAGATGGAAGTACCTTCCTTTTGGATGCGAAGATAATCAAGCATCAGCCTGAAACGCCATTTGGCGATTTTCACGAATAAAGACATTAAGGGCCCCACAGCGAGTTTGGTCTCGGCGATGTTCAGCGTGGGACTATTGGTGAAGTTAACGTCTTCTGGGAATCGATGGTTATCAACGTTAACAACACCATTGAGGATATTGTTGATAGGTGAAAGAACCGTTGACCCCACTTGGGGCGCATAAAAATCATTCGATGATAGATGTTGCTTCCCAGACGAGGGATGTCTGAGGAGGCCAGTGAGACTGTTAAAGGGTTATCAATACTCCACTTCTGGATTGCAGAATCTTCTGATAACTATGACACTATATATCATAATGAATAGGGAATATGACCGGCGGCATCTAGCGGTGGTGAAGGCGTTTGATTGTTGGTTGATTCTTATCCTCCAGGACCTTTATCGCTTTCTGAAGAGAAGAGCTGGCTCCTCAATTCTCTTAGTTATTTGTTAAGCTTTTTGAGACAGTCAGGGAATTGAGCTGCTCTCCTCGTCAGGGTCGATGGTCCGTTGTCCGGGTTTAGCTGTCTTCAGTTTCAAAGGGAGGTAGCCCTAAAAAAGGCTTTTGGGTATTATGCCCTAAGGAGAGCCTTTGGATATTGGGTAAAAATATGGTCTAGGTAAAGGAAGAAAAAGGGGAGGAGGAAATATTAAAAAGTGGGAGAAAAGATGTTATTGTAATCGTGATCTTGCTATTTTCTATTCTTACCACTGGAGGCGGGCACCTCCCTCTGAGTTTTAGATGCCTGTATGTGGGCCTACCGCTGGTGATACTCACTTTCTCTCGAAAGAACCGATCCGAATTATTTTGATTTCGGCATTCATGTATCGCTCCTGGTAGGAGAGGTCATTGGCTCTGACCTTCTGCCAATTCGAATGTATGGCGTGAGGATTTGAAGCCTTTCCATTATTGCATCACAGATTTACATATCTGCGTCTACGTTCATAAGCTTAACAAGCCTCTTTATATGCTTGACTTTGTGGCAATCTCTTTCGCTAGCCGTTTTCCATGGTAGCATAAGCTTTTGCACCTTTTACTGCGACGTAGGGGCTTGAACTACTATTGTAGCGGGTGCTTGCGAAATTTGGAAGAGTGCATGACGCATAGTAAATTTTATTTTCGCATTCATGGATGCTGACGTCGCTCTCGGATTCTATAATTATATCTGCGGGTTCTATTAATGTGGACCGGGCACGGAGATCGAGCGAGGTAAGGGAGATCTGAGCCTGTTAGATGCAGACAGTGCAGCCATGCGGGTAGTTCATGTGGCGATGGCAGTAGGTCAGTTTTGATTTGATTGGGGGGTTCCATGAGATGCTTCGAATGCCCGAAGATTGGGTCTAGTGTTGTTAAACGGCTCATTTGAGCCGATTTTTTAAAACTGCTAACTCAATGTAGCAAGAATAATATTACCTAAGCCTCGAGATTTCGATGATATATGTCTAGACCTTTGTTTCTTCTATGAACAAATTGGCTTGCATAATGTTTTTCTGGATGAAATATTGAGTTAGCCATTTTTAAAAATCGGCTAAAAAGGAGCCGTTTAACAACACTAATTGGGTCTCACTATTCATATTTTCCTCCTTTTCCATTTTATTACAATTTAGAACTTCTCCCACTCCAGAGTTGTCAAGTGTAAGGAGATTGGTAAGTGGGTCTTATTTAGGTAGTGCTTTCTTTGAACATTTGACCATTAAAAGAAAAGGAATGGCGAATAATGTATAGGAATAGTAAAATATTAAATCAGAAAGGAAAACAACAATTATATATTTATTATTAACCGGAGGGGGGGGGGGTTCTGAACCTCTATTTACCAAATCTCAAGGATTACCTAATAGTACTTTATATAAAATCTTAATAGGGCCTGATCCAATTCGGGCTTTTCAGCACTTGTCAAGAGGACTAGTTAACAGGAGTTTGAGGGACGAACCATGCTTTTAAAGATTTAGAATCCCCTAAAGAACTACGAATGCCAATGATATAACCGATTAGAAATATAATGCTCTACAAATCACAATTCATGACTCTTATTTTTTAATAATTTTTGTAACAGGTGGGCCCCCTTCCCCCACGAGAACTACGCGTCTGGCTATATATCATTATTCATAATGTCAAGCACTCTCATATTTGAAAAAATCTTATTACCCGTATTAGGTCTTACTTGTCTTATGACAATATATATAGTCAATCATTATTCGAAAATTTGTCAAACATACACATGAATTATATGAATAAAATTCAAGAATATAAGAAAGAAGCGTTTTCTTTGTCCTTGGATAAAAAATATGAATATATAGCTCGTTACATACGATGTCAGAATGTATCTAATATTTTAAATAAATTCAAAAAAATAATATTAAGGCATATTCAGCTTGTAAATGTAAATTTTGGAATAGAGCTTCAGTGCTGATTAAACAGGAATACAATGAAAATCAAAGTAACCTACTCTTAACAAATACAATTTGCAAATGTGGACATTATCTTAGTTTATTACAATATATTTTTGCTAACTATTTAAGATAATCATGTATCAAGTATAAAATCATCTGAGATTGACAAATATTTAAACATAGCCATTGACATAACAATAATCAAAAAATTTCTACAGGAAGAAAGATATGATGACACTAAATTAATATATGAATTAATTCTTAAAGTTTTTACTTTAACTGTTATTAATAATTAATTCTTTATAGTTTTTGCGAATTTCCCTTTTAAAAAATTGTGGTTCCCCAAGCCTGTCTAAATTATTAGGTTTTCCTCCTTATGAGAAGCCTAGTATTGGACAAGTGATTAAATATTTATAAATCCTAAGCTTTATTTACAAAAGGTTATAGCTAACTTTATTTTATCAAAATATGGACATTTAAGTGGAAGTGAATGGCAGAATATGTATGACACTGCTAAAATGTTTGTGAAAGTCTTAAAACATTGGCAATTAGAAAACCCAATTAACCATTATTTAAGATGTCCAAATGATGATAATAATATATATAAGCAGAATTATACTAGGTTTTTATTTTTTATTTTATGTCTAAATGTTAAATAATAGGTGGGTATGTTTATGCTCCTTACCTATATTTTGCTCTAGTCTTCCTGGATATGAATTAACAGTAATATTTGGCAAAACATTGTTTAGATCAATTTATCCTCAAGTAAAGAGAGTTATGCTTGATATGTACAGGCATGAAAAAGAAAAACTATTGAATTTGTCAGAGATAAATCATAATGAAAAAAATTTATCTACATATTTAAATATTATCCAAAATACAAGTATTGAAAATCCAGTATTATCACATTTCATTCATTTCCCTAGGTTTGATAAGAATTTTTTTTTCTATAGCTTAAGCAATTATTTTTCTTAAATATTAAGATTTCTTTCTAATCTTGAAGCTGAAGTATTTGATGATTCTTCACCAATTTGGGCATCTGATTTTGTTCATAAAGCATCCAATACACCGCATTTGCTTAATATTTCTGATAATTTTATGGATAATGGTATTATTAATTATACAATAATTTAAATATTTATACCTGGGTTGTGTCATGCCAGCCAATATTAAATATTGTACCAAGGCAAATATTTGTGCAATTAAAAAAAAATTGAATTGGGCAATATTTTCATAAAAAAATGAAAATTATCTTTGTTTTGGGTTGTTTATTGATTGCATATTTAGTTATATAGTATTTTTTTATATATAATTTCTAAAGTAATAATAATAAATTAGGGCTATGACAATATTAAACATAAGATGGGGGCCAATATATACTGTTTTAAAAAATATTAGATTGGGCTGATAACTTTAAAAAAACTAATCTGATATGATCATTTTATTGTTTTTTTTGTTGTTTTATGAATGTACATTATTTTATTATTTCAAAAGATTTTTTTATTTATTTTTATGAAAAAGAACATAATTAAAATGCATAATTTGAGTTTTTGCATAGGAAATATGTATTCTTTTTATTACATTTGGTTTAAAGATGGATGGTAAAAAAGTAAATATGAATAATGGATTGGTTTTGAATAGGGCTGTGCTGATTAACATATTTTTCACTGATCCGATATTTATATTGATTTTTTTACCACCAGCCTTTGAATCAAACGTAATTAAAAAAATCCTTATTTTCTATGCAAAAAATCGAATTATGCATTTAACTTCAATAATATTATTTTTACAAATAAGACTATAATATAAAAATAAATGTAATATAATAGATAAAAATATATATATTTAATAATGTATCCATTTTATTTCGAATAATATTTATTGGTATGAATTATAAAATGGTAATATTTAATATATAAAATTATAATATATTAGTTTTTAAAATAAATATGAGAACCTCTAGATTTTCTGGTATCAGGCTATGATTTAGACTATCTATATCCCCTGCTGTACTGAAGATGACTTAGAAGAGGTCTGAATTGGGTGGGGATTCTTTTAAATATTCATTGATTTCTTTCAGTATGGCAGGTCATCTACATTACTATTGATTTCAGTTATTTTATTGTGATTTTCAATTTAATAAAATTTTTTTTTATATTATAGTTTTCCTTTTATTACCACTATCAAATAAAATTATATTAAAATTAACATATCAAATATAAAATAAAATAAAACATTATTTTATAAAAGGTGATAAGATAAGAGCCCTTACATCAGAACCAAAAGAATACTATTTTTTAAAACAAAATCTACAAATAATTATTTTAAAATATAATTATTTATGTTTTTTTGGGAACTTGTAGTCCCACCTCCATTTTTATTTAAATAAATAAAATTTAGGGGGTATTGTACATTTCCATTGTTTTAAAAAAAAATATAAAATTTTTTAGAAATTTTTTAAAAAAGATTTAGAATCTTTCAATTTTTTTAAAAATAAATAAAAAATTTGAAATATTATAATAATGTAAAATATAAATATATATATAACATAAAAAACAAAAAAAGTAAAAAGATTGGATCGGTCTTTTACAGGTATTGACCCAATCTGATTTGAAAATGTTAAATATGAATATCAGATTGGATCAGTGAAAAATATGTGGATCAACACAGCCCTATAATAAATATATATATTTAAAAGAAAAATATTTTAAATGAGATGAGATAATGTTTGGGTAATAAAAAAAACAAAACACACTTAATCATTTGTAATAATGCACCAAATATTGTTTTTCATGTGAAAAATCATGTGTGATAATACCCAAGATCAGTGTTGTTAAACGCTACTTTTAAAAGTAGCGCGCTATCGCTACCGCTATCGTTTTCAAATGAGTAGCGCGCTATTAGCTACTTTTTACGCTACTTTGATTTTTTTTGAAATATTTTTTTTTACGTAACTTTATTTCCACAAATAAAATATTGATATAAAAACATGACTATTTGTTACATATATATATATATAATTTATTTATTTTTGCACTTTAATAATAATAACATTTCGGTACTGTCATCCCCAAGTCTAGAGCGACGATCAGAAAGTATAAGCTTTGCCATACTAAATAATCGTTCAGCACTAGCACTTGAGGGCAACACAATATTAAATTTAATAAATAAACTTTTTATATGAAAAAAATCATCAAAAATATTTAAATTAGTATTTTTAGATTTAAAAAAGCATCTAGAGGTTCAATAATATTATTATTATTTATTTCAAAAAAATCGTCTATGGAAGGCTGCGGTTTAGATCTTTCTATAGTATCGTGGTTAGGCATGCCATTTTTTAACGTTACCATCAGCCTATCAAGTTGCCCTTTAGATTCAGTCAAATTAATGTACTGCCAATTTAACTTGAAACTAGGATGAACGATAGCATCTATCACATTATCATCATCATACAGATCTGGAAATCTTATCCACCAAGGATAATGGTTGAACTGTATCTATTATAAAGTTCATAATGACTTTGTCAGCCAATTTTTGGTATACACCAGGGGTTGATGACTCCAAATTAGTTAATAAATTTGATTTGGAAGTGGGTTTATCTTCTTCCATTACCCCAAAACTTTTGAGATATTTTTCAATCTCTTTATAATTTGAAGTGTGCACAGGCTAAAATTATAAAAACTTAGAATAAAAATTATGTAGGAGATAAGTACATAAAAATGATTGAAATAACTATTTTAAAATGTTTTAAATAATTTAGATAAAATTTATGAATATATAAAAAAAATGATTGAAATAACTATTTTAAAATGTTTTAAATAATTTAGATAAAATTTATGAATATATAAAAAAATGATTGTTTTTTTATTTTAATTTATTTTAAAAATTAAAGATTAGCCTACACATTGATATTAAATTTGTTTAATATATTACCTTTAAATGTTTTTTCAAATTAAAGCTGCTCGTATGATTTGAAGAGATAATTTTGCGGCACACCTTGCACCGAAACCTATATCCAGTATTAATTTTTTCTTCAAGGTTAAAGTATTTCTTGAATTTTGTGAAAGGATCATCTATATTTTGCTCATTTTCCAAAGAAATTTCAATATCTTCAACAACCTCACACATAACAAGATTTATAATGCTTAATATAAAATGTAAAATGAAATATAAAATAAGATAAAAGCAAGGACATACCAATAACGGAATTTCAAAAATATATAATTTAATGAATGCGTGAAATATAAATTAAATACAGACTGCTATTTAACAACTGTTTATATCTAATATATAACAATTAATTATATTTTTAAATATAAATTTCAAAATTAAATTAAATAAAAGGATTATAATTTTAGATTTTATAAAAAATATATTTTAATAATTTTTAGATGTATTTATTATGTAAAATTGAAAGTAGCGAGCTACCGCTATCGCTATTTTTTAAAAAAAGTAGCGCGCTATAGCTACCGCTACTGAAAGCGCGCTATTTTAACAACACCACCCAAGATATCCCTTTGGCCATAAGTCAAAGTGTTTCTTGTTTTGCACATAATTTACAGTTGTTTATTTTTTACATTGAAAATATTGATTTTTGAGATTTATTCTAACAGATGATAAATAAATGTTGATCCAAATATTAGATTGGTTATCAAATCAGTTTTATATGAATATTAAAAAAATATTGCAGTAAAAAATTTGTTAATTGGCACACAGCCTTAGTTTATACTCTTATTCCTGATTGTATAAAACAGAGCTGTGCTGATATTAAATATTGGATTGAATTTACCATTTAAAAAAAAATTGAATTGAGTCAATATTTTCAAAATATGATTTGATTATTGTTTTTAGTAGGGTTGTGAGCCCAACAAAATTTTTGCCCAGGTTAAGGTTCAGTTTAGGGATAAAAAAATAGGTGGGTTTGGTTCAGGGATATATTTATGAAGCCAGGTTTGGTTCTGGGTTCATTTCTGGTTTAGGAATTTTTGAATTGATATAAATTATAATTAAATAACTAGACAAATTTGGTAAAAAATAAATTTTTATTTTATTTATAGACAAAATATAGTTAAAAATACAAAGCATAGTGATATATCAATTTTAAAATATTTATTTAGACATATTAGCATAATATCTTCTAAGAGTTGTTAGATCTTTAAACACTAACCTATAAATATATTTATGTGAAAATATGATAAATTAACTTTGGTTTCAGAAACAGCAAATAAGAATTAAGGTTGAATATATAAATCAGGGTGCTCCAGCTAGCAGACTCCTAAAAATGCTAAATATTTCCCTTCTTATCTAATCTTTTAAAATAGCTAAATTCGGTAATTGTAGTTTCAATACTTATCTCTGCAATCGTTGGCCCTCTTTTAAGTATTTTCTCCTGCTTTAAGTTGTATCAATTTCTCTAGATCATCTTCCTGTAATAACTTCATTGGAACTAATATCATCAGATAAAATCGGTGTTTGTTATCCTTTTAATCTGGCTTCATGAATTAATTTTTCACACAAATCTTATCATCAGTAAGATAAATGGCAATTCCATAAAATAACAATTTTAATATAAATCCAAAATAATAATTTAACTTGTATCTTGGGTCCAGGTAGGGCAGCTAAGAGAATTTCATTCTTCATTATCCTTTTTTTCTGTTCAAAAGACAAGAATATAGCAACTGAGATGGTTTATATTTTTTTAGTTCAATGCAGCATTTTAACCAATCTGCATAAAAATCTGTGAATATTAACTGTTCAGATTGGAATCCTTTGGTTGCGATTTTTAGTGGTTTCAAAATTTCAACAATCGTTATTATCTCTTTTCAATCTTCAATCAATAAATAATCAGACTGCTTTGAAAGGAAATCTTTGATATTGGATTTGAGTAAAATCAGCCTTTCTAACATATCATGGGTTGAATGCCATTGATGGCGATCTAACACAGGCTTAGGGTGTTTCATATTTTTAATAACTTTTGATAAGTGGGATGTCTTAATTTTAAATTTAAGCTCCTAGCTTTTGCATGAGTATCCACAATGGGTGATAATTTTATTGCATCTTGAAGTACGAGCTGAAGTGTATGAGCTGCACAACATACACTATAAATCAGATAAGATAAAATAGTTGATAAGAGTGTTCCACTTATCATCAATATCATATTTATATACATTGACATCCATATTTTCATCATCTGCTGATTCACTCATTATATCATAATCAATTTCAAGTGCAAAAGCTTTATAGCTTTGTAAAATTTGCACCTTTGTCAGAAATAATTGTGTATATTAGTTCAATATTAATTTTAAATTTTTGTAAAGTTTTTAGTATATTCTCTTTTATATTATCCTATACTTCTTTCTTTCAGCTCTACAATTCCAAGAGTTCTCATATAATAGACTTGATATAAATTGAATATTTACACCAAGAATTGACCTGTCTAGTTTTTGAACTGCAATCAACTTTTAAACTTATTAGTTTTCCTTCTACTTCTTTTGATATTTTGTCTGTAATGGATTGGGCTAGTTCTATTAATAATTCGGGATAAAATTTCTTTGTTAATAACTAAATTTAGCTGAGATAAAATGGATTTATGATCCTTTAAAATCTCGAATCCTCAAAAATTGAAAGAGACCAACCATTTACAGTAACCATAGAACTCATCAAATCATCATATGTTAAATTTATAGATTTTTTTGGGAAAACGGTTTCTATATTAATTTTGTGGTTTTTTGCAAATAACGTTTTATATGTTTTTTCATTCAAATAATTTAGATATTCATTGTTGTGATTATTTTCCAGATGTCTTTCTAAATTTGACAAATGATTACCAGATATTTTTAATTTGCAAAATAAGCATACTGATTTATTTTCTATGTATCAGTAAAATGCTGATCTTAAATCTATATAATAAAATGGTGGATTGCGGAACATTTATTAAAATTTCAAATAAAAGAGTTAAAGAGTATAAATTTTTTAAATAGCATTGATTTCATAGAAAAAAACAGATATATGAATTTAATTTCATATATAATATGCACTTCATTAATATATGGTAAAAATTAATCTGAACAAAAAATAAATGATTAGTATATATAAATTTTAATAAGTTTATAAAAACTACCTTACATCTTTGTTTTAAAATTTTTAAGTTAGATTTTGAGAATTCTTTAAATTAACAATATCCATTATAATTATTTTTTTTGACTTGTTGACTTTCATTTTCCTCTAATTAATAAAATTAATAATCTTTGAGAATAAGTTAAAAATTAAAAATAAATAGCTTAAATGTATTTGTTAAAAATTTATTAACATCCAATAGTAATCTTTGAGAATAAATTTTAAAAATGACGTAAATGAATTAAGTTGTTTAAAATTTATTAACACTTCACTTAATTGGAAATTCGAAAATATTATAAAATCTCAATCAAATTATTTTATATTTGCAATTATATAAATATCTTAATATATGATTTTAAACAATACACTGAACCTGGTTGAACCCCGGTTCAGAAAAATTCTTGGGTTCGGTTTAGGGTTTTGAAAATTTTATAAGCAAGGTTCAGTTTAGATTCGGGTTCAGATTTTTCCCAAAAACATTAGTTTTCTTCTCCGGGGTTGTGTACGGTTCGAATCCTTGGTTTTTAGTTATTTATTTATTATTTTATGTATTTAATTTCATAATGATAAATCAAAATGGAATTTTTAATATTTGAAACTGGAATTATTTTAGAAAAAAGATTGAAAAATATAATATTATTTCATTTGCAACAAGAAAAGGATTTAAAAGTATTTAATGATTCACATTCAACCATAAGTATTACTCATATTATAAAAGTTTTATAACTTTTGTGGAATAAAAAAACCAAATACCCTTAAATATTTGTAACATGTACCAAATATCACTTTGACTATAAGAAACGGAAAATTTAAAAGTGTTTCCTGTTTTGATCTTAGTTTATTTAAGATTTTTAGATAAAATTAGAATATTGATTCTTTTTATGATATTCATTCAAAGATAGGTAATAAATAAAAATCAATCTAAATATTGGATCGGCTCGGATTGGTTTTATATGAATATTGGATCGGTAAGTGAAAAATTTGTGGATTGGCACAACCCTTTTTAAAGTTTTTCAAAAAATATTTATTAATCCAATTTCATAAATTAAAATAAATCATATATTAAAGATGTTTATGGTCTATATCATCCATTCCCATTAACCAAACACATCCTTAAATCCATAAATCTCAATGATACATTTGAGTTAAAAAGGTATGTTAAGATTTTTCCTTTTCCTGGATTCGGAAGTTTTCGACTTCATTCAGATGGGCAAAGTCTATATGTAACTCATTCAACATCTATTCCATATAAAATGTCTTCAAGAATAGAAGAGGCAAAAGATGCGCAACGATTAAAACGTTCTTCTACCGAGTCTATCATATTATATGGCCCAAAGCGTGATAATCATAATAGGCCTGATGATATATTTCAATTGCGGAATTCAAAAAGAAAGGTGAATTTTTCAATGCTAAATAAACCAGGGACCTAAGGCATATTTTTACATTCTGTTCCAGGTCCCCTATTATAAAATTATATTTTTTTAATATAAATTTCAATTAGAATTGAAAATATTATTAAAAATTAGATATCTACAAAACTTATTTGAGTTTTTAAAAAAGTTAAATTTTTGAAAATATTATGGTGAAAATTTTCAAAACTTGATTTTCTGAAACAAGAATTTAAATTTAATATATCGATATTTACATTATACATCGACCCAAACTGGAAGGTGGAGATTTAATATTTTGTGTTCTGGCTTGGCTTGGGGAAAAAGTCATGAATGAAGAAAAATAAGAAAAATGTTGGATTAAAAAATTTTAAAGGGAATGTTAGTGCCTCATTGGGATATAAATCAGGGACAAGGTTGTTTGATAATAAGGAAAGGAAATGGGAGAATGGAAGAATCATACAGAATAGGGAATCAAAATTAAATCAGGTCAATTTGGATAATAGGGTTCTTGTGGTGAGGCATAACGATCACCTCAAGATTAGGAAATAAAAGAAAAATGTTTAGAAGGTTTAGGTGTTACGGATAGTTGTATTAAAAGATATATAATCGGATTATATTCCGGCTGTTATAACATTGGCTTATAAAGGGAAGGGATGAGTATTTTTTCTATTTTTCGGGTTTCAATTTAAGACAAATTTTTTGGGGTTCAATTTTGACAAGTTATACCAATATAAGTGATCTGATTGAGAGAGGCTCATGCCAGAGAGAACGAAAAGTTTTTTTGTTATGTTTTTGTTTTAATTATTAACATTGTGTTAAGTGAAAAAGGAATTGTAGGTATTGGTAGAAATTTTTTTTCCCATCGGCAATGTCTGCCAGATGTTTGTGTTGGTTTTAGAAGTGGGCGCGGGCCTAATTTTTCATTCACGGCCCGCCCGCTCAGGTGGCAATAAATAAAATTTACGCCCATTCACGCTTACCACTAAAAAATTTCCGACCCGACCCGCTCGCTCACGACAAGCAATATTATTCACGCACGTCACGCCCGAAAATTCACGGTGTTTTTAAATTTTTGAAAACTATTACTATAATTTTACACTTTTTTGAATTCATTCTATTTATTTCTCTAATTTCATGATCCATATTAATAACAAAAAATAAATATAATCTATAAATCGAAATTTATTTAGAAAAAGAAGAATGTCCATCTTTTTTTATTTCAATTGTGTACGCCCTTCCTCTAATAAGAGATTGGCTACAGAAAATAACCTATCACTAGAAGCCGAACTTGCAGCTGACAAAATTTTACTCGATAATTTTCTCAAAAAAGGAAATAAATATTCCTGCTTCCAAAACTTCAAATATTGTTTTGTTATTTATCTTATATGAATTTTTTAAGTTTATCCTCACAGCCTTCTTCGATGATGTTGATGCTTCATCAGAATCATCTAGAAATTCTCTAATGAGTGTAGGATGAATTAGAAAAGTGATAGTTGGTATTGACCATTTAGAATATACGGTTTTTTATGAGTTTAGGATTCTAATTTTACATCATTTAGCATTTTTAAGATTGTTTTATATATATCATTTTCTTCTTTAAATTCGGATGTAGAATTAAGCCTACCTTATGTAGTGGCTGCATAATAATCTTTTAAAGGAAATCTTGTTCTGTATTTTAAGGTTTTGATTATTATTGTATCACGTTCATAAAGTTAACAAAATTTTACTAATTTTTGTTTCCATAGACAAACTTCATTTATTTTGGGACGATAATCTGCTCTCAGATTATCCGAGCATTCTTTAAATATTGATAAAAATTTATCTAACTCGCGTATGATGCTGATATCAATTATGGCTAATCTATTTAATTCTTGCTTGCTAAACAAGTACGCCTGTATTTCAGAATATGATTTTAAGAAACTCTGCATCATCAAATATTCATTCCATCTCGTTATTCTCGCTGTTACATCTTGTTTAAGGGTGTGGTTTAGTTTGCTATTAGCTGTAGATTGTTTGAAATATAGTACTATTTTTTTTACACCATTTATATTTAAGGCTATTTCAATTAAATAATTGTCAAAAAACATAATGCATAATATTATTTGATGCTAGCGTTTCGTCATCTTTGAGTGCACTTATAAGATTTGCTCCGTTATCACTCACAAGTCACAACTATACATTTTTTTAAGTAATTTTCTACTTCTGTACATTCTCCTAAAATTGAATTGACTGCACTTTTAATTTTGACGTTTTTTTTATCCATTGCCCTTGTGGCCAAAATTAATATTTTTAATTTAAAATCCTTAATGATAATATGTCCTATAATGGTTAAAAAACTTAGATTTTTATAGTCATCCGTCCAAATATCAGTGATTATGGACAAGTAATTATTATAGGTCATGCTTTTATTCTTAAAATTTATTTCATAATATATTTTTGGACCTATAGTATTCATGAGTTTTTCGGTTCACAACTTTTTATCCATATGTAACACCAGCATTTATCTCTTGGCCTAGCTTGTAAAATCCTTCACTTTCTGTTGCATTTAAAGATTGAAGATCTTTACAAATAAAATATAACTGACTTTTCTGTAAATTGTTTAAGCAAAATTTAGCATAAATTCTCGCGATAAAAAACACCTAAACATAAAAAAGAAAATAGAACTAACGAAATGATACCGGATGTTGTTTATAAAATGCGGAAGATTTTTAGTTTTCATAAATTATTCTTTTTTTAAAGAGAAACTAAATTAAATAGGAAAATATATAATATAATTATAAAATTGCAAATTTATATTTATAAATAAACAATTTTAAAATAAAAATTTCCGTGATTCATGGGAAATTTATGTTCACGCCCGATCACGCCCGGGGAAAATTTTGGGAAGGCCCGTCACGCCTCGGAATTAAAATTATATTCACACTCACGCCGTGACCCACCGTGACACGATGGGTCACGCGTAATTTCACCGCCCGCGCCCACCTTTAGTTGGTTTATATTTCTGTAAGTTTTGAAAGGCAGTAGAAAAATATTTTTTTTTCTCGCTTGTAATTTACATTTTTGTCCCCGTTTTATTTTCTCATTATACGACAACTGCAGTAATGAAAAGAAAGAGAAATGATGTTGAGATTTTTTTATCTGATTTTATGTTGTGGTCATACGTAAAAGTACATATTTGTTGGAAAGAAAGTACATTATCAATTTGGTGAATGATTTTTTTTTCGCTTCATAACATATTAAAAAGAGAATGTTCTTTGGATCGTGATAATAACTTTCGTTTATGGAATAAAAGAGGAGAGTTACTAGTAATAACATTTGGTAAAAAGAGAGGTTTTTGTTTTTATTAATAATGAAGATCATTGATCGATAAGAATGATTTTTCGATAAATATTTCTTTTTCTCCAGCCCTTCTGTTGTATTTTTTTCTCTTATTTATTTTTATATATATGATGGTTATTTGTGGCGCAAAGAAAAAGTAAAAGATTAAAGTTGCTTTTAATTTTGTAATGAACTTTAGGGATGAATAATAACTTAACTGGTGATACACATGACTGGTTAGTTGTTTTTATGGATAAATTTTTTTTCCCTTTTATTGGCATAATTTGTTTATTTATATATTTTTTTAATTCCCCAAAATTGTAATAATATAATTTTGTTGAAAAAAAGGCCAAAAAATAAATTTTCTTTTTGTACAAAATTTACTATATCTTCATAATCACATTTGGTCAATTATAATTCCAAAAATGTCAACATGAAATTGCTATAATTTTGAAAACAACGTATTCCGATACGTATGATGCGTCTTTTCAAGCTATTTATCAAGCCAACAATGAGGGAAAATCATCGTTTACCCAATCGTTTCGGAACAATTCCGATACGTATGATGCATCTTTTCAGTTATTTATCAAGTCAACGAAGAAGGAAAATCATCGTATACCCGACCGTTTCAGAACAATCCTTATGGATTTCAATATTCATCACCAAATAAAGGTGTTAAGGAAACCATTCTCAGTTTGACGATTAAAAAAATATTGTAAACCGTCATTATTCAAATACGTATGTAATATTATATAACTTTTATTTCCTGGGGTGAAAGCCTCTGGCCCCTAAAGGGGTGGCATGTCATCGCTGTCTTATTTTATATCGATAATTATATATATTTATAGAATGTCAATCAATTTTTTATGAACATTTTTCTTGTTTTCTTTTATAAAAATATCATTTTTTTATTTTTGGGAAATTATGATAAAAATTTTTAATTATTTTATTTTTGTGAAATTAGAAATTTTTTTTTAAAAATATTATCGAAAATCCCTCATTATTAAGAATTAGTTTTTTTTTTATCTAGGTTCATTTTTATATTGAAGTTAAGTACTTTTTTTTTATTTTGAAATTTAATCGTAAATTTTATCAATAATATTAATTTTGTAGTCTTCTTAATTCTGTAAGTTTTTATAAGCTGTGCTTCTTGTTAGTTTTATAATTTGTAAATTTTTGTTAGATATATATTCTTAATATCAAATAAACAATATATTGACTTATATCATAATTTTGAGAAGTTATAGCCTCTTGTGGCTCTGAGACCGGTAAGGTATTATTTTTTAAATTTATAGGGTTCGAATAGTTTAGATGGTGATTTTTCTAATGTTGTCTGAGTATTGTCTATAAAAATTATGGGTAAATAATCGATTTCTTTAAATATATCAGAATTATAAGGATATATGTTCTTTACTTCAAATATATTTGGTTTAAAAATTTTTTTTTTAAAAAAAATTTTCAAGCCCGGTTTGACCCGGGTATTTTTTTCTGCAGGTCTCTGATAAAATGATCAAAAATCTTTTTCCTTGGGAAAAGGAACTTAGGCGGGATCACATTCTTTACGGTATTAATAGGGAGAACTATGGGTACTATGGTTCCTCTTTCAGCAGATGTCATAGCAGCAACTTGATTTTGATTTTTCTGAGCTATTATTTTACTCGGGATTTCTACAATTGTTAATCCAC